AAAAATAAAGATACAATACAGAATATTTTATTTGCTTTTATATTTTCAACTTCAGTAAGTAGGAAGTTATAAATAGCACACTGAATCATTATGGTTGATAACAAGCCATGCTGAACTCTTCATAATTCACTCTTTTAGAGACATTTCTTTTATATTACAACTAGGTTAAAAATGTATGTACTTTGTTATAAATGGATGGCCTCAATGCAGGACATCACACAATGAAACTGTTCTCAGAAGAAACTTTGCCAAAATATTTCTTATACCAAATGATACAATTTATTTCTCCTAGCTACCTTCCATTCATTCTTTACTGAGCTATAAAGTGCTTGGTTATTATAAATAGAGCAAGAATGTCAAAGGAGGTAGCTAGTAGAAATTTTTAATGGGTAAGAACCCTTACCAAGTGTTTTTACCTAAAAGTATGATTTGATGCATAATCCCAGATCTCTAAACACCCCAAGCAGCACCGCTTTCATCTTCTCTGCCATAAAAAGAACTTTCAAATTGCTCAGAAAATCCTAAGACCTTCACCTGTCCAACAGAAATTTTATCCAGATTTAGATGAATGTTAAAAGTTCATAAATATTATTATTATTATTTCCATTTGACTGCTGTCAGAATCTCAGCAATTAAGTACTGTTCTTTTTCCAGCTGTATTCCCTAGATAGAGAAATTCAACCAGGAACAAACCTTCCCTCGTGAAGTTCCTTGTAGCCAGATAACGTTGTACAGTAGGCTATTAAAAATATGAAAGGGGGCTGTGATACTTTTTAAAGTCTTCTACACTTGCACTTTGTAATCTGAAAATTCTAGTCCCTTTCTATTTGCTTTATCAATGGCTTTCCCCAGCAGCCAACACTGCACCAGACCCTAAACTGGAGAAATTGTCAAGCAGCCCTTTATTTTTCTTTGAATGGCTCAGCAGAAGCATCACAAAACAATTTTACAAACTTCTCCATTAAGTGGTCTTTTACAGAAAACTTGTATATACATATGCTTAAACACACACAAAGCCATGAGAAAAGTCCTTTTCATAAAGTAATCAACAACTGATATCCCATTTTATACAGCTTGAAAATTTTAAAGAATAACGTTTCATTTTCCACTGCAAACAGAGATACAGAAACACCTAAACCTTCCTGCTACGTATCAGTCTGCTGTTGACCCAACCACAGCAGTAGGAAGACATCTGGATCTCTATGTGTGTTCTCAGTCTCCTCCAGCTCTCCTCTTTAAACCTGCCTAAATGCATTTGCTCGCTTGTGTAAGCTTTTACTTTTAGGCTAATGTTTGTTCTGCAGTATAAGTAATTTTCTCCCACAATATTTTAAGTAAAGATGGAAGTAATTCTCTTCCAGATACCGTAACTAATTTTTAATAAACTTTAGTATAAAATTTGGAATTCTTAAGAATTAGTATATGAAGTCAGCTACCCTCATTTTCCTGTGCATAGGATATATTTCATTACTCAAGAGATTCTATTTTGTAAGCAATTAAGTTATTGAGCTCACTCAAGATAGTATGTATGTATAGAGGTAGAGTAGGCTTCAGGGATGTAATTCTTACCACTGAAGAATTCGCTCAGATAACCATAAAGCATCTCTGTAGTGTGAGGCTCTCGACTTCACTGAAATCCACTGAAACACTCATTGAGAAAATGAGTATTTGAAGTGTATTTCCTTTCTGCAAGTACTGATTCCACAAATCAACTACAAAAACAGAACTTGACCTACCATTCCCCGTAGCATTTCTGAAAGTGGTATTTACTAACCATTTGATGAAAATGTAATGTCATAAAAAAGGGAAACTTGCATTCCCACATACAGCCTTACCGCTAGAAATAGTCTCTCCCATGATCATCAAGCTGATTTTATGTCACCTCGTATTGAAGAACGGAAAAGGAAAAAAATTAAGATAGCTGAACATTTTTACAAGATTAAGTCCTTCCATTTGATATGTCCACAGCAAAGACACCTGGTGACATGCCAAGAGTCTGCTTTTATAATGCATCTGTTAAAAATATAAGTTTTAAGCCACTAATAAGATATTACATTCAAAAGCAATTGTTACAATGCTACTTATCATGCATTTACTTCTCTTGCATAAGGAAGACACAAGCTTGCAACATTGAATTTCATCAATATTTCACCACATTTTTCAAATTAATAAAGTGCAATTAAAATAATGAGTGCCAGCTATCTAATTTGCTGTATTATGAGCTTTTAATAGTAGGCAAAAAGTGCCCAGTACTACTGTATTCAGTACATTACAACTTTGCAGCCTGTTTACTAAAGTCCTTGCCAAAATCACAGGTCTTAATAGTTTTTTTTCAAAGAAAATTGTCTTCTGATGTACAGTGGACACATCAGGACATAACTGTAATGTTGTTTAAAAAAATTAGAAAATTTAAACCTAATGTACTGTAAAAATAGAGTTTTAATTACACTAGATTTGTACAGCAATGCAAAGTACTAGCTGTTTTTAAAAAGAATTATTCCACTGCCCTTCAATTCTGGATTGTTGCCCAAAGTGTATTATGCCAAGTTTGGGATTTTTTTTTCTTTTAAATCAAGTTTTAACATTGATTTTATTTTAGCTTGACTTACTTTGCCCCTCCCCCGCCCCCCCATCAGACACAAGTCTATCTATAAATGGAAGAAATAGACCATTTTAATGAATGGTCTCCACAAAGAACAAAATATTTAAAATACTGAAATATTAAAGATTAATGCTAAATTATGAATTTCAGAATGTTTTCATGTGTTATCACCTTAAAAGTTGCTCCAAATCATCTTATCGATTTTTTTCATCCTACTTCCCAAATAACAAAATAACAAAATAACAAAAGCAGACTTCTGCTTTCAAACATATTCTCCAAAATGTTTCAATTTACTCAACTTATTTTAGAAAGGAACAAGCTATTACAAAACGATTCCCTGATCTAAGGATGTTAAAAGCACAAGAAAAAAAGTACTTAATATACACCTTTAAATCATAAAGGTGATAGAAACACAGAGCCTTTTTACGAAGCCTAGATTTTGCATTAGATTGACTGAAATCACATTTTAAAAGATACCAGGTTCTGCAAATCAGCATAAAAGGGAGTCGGTTTCTTTCTGCAAAGGATCAACTCTCAAAGACTATGGATTTAGCGGTGCCCAAATGAGGTACTGCGCTCACACAAATCATACAGCTCAGCAGATTAATTGCCAACTCTCCCAAGGCATAAACAGATCTTTTGTCTGCGGGCTTGTGAAGTATTAATAACCATAGAATCCAAAAACCAGAAGTACTAACAATCCTTGCTTTCTCCGCTAACAAGGCAGGATTGGGAAAAGATTTTAGAAAAAAGCCTGCCCAGCTAAACAGTGAAATTAGGCTTTTAAAAAGCGTGTGTTACACTTGTCCAAACAATACTCCCTGACAGCATTTTAACTAGGGTACTAAAGTCACTGCAGCTGCTTTGATTATAAGGCATTTCAGCCTGTGCAGTCCTCCTGGGGTCTTACAGACATCTGACTCCTGGAAGACAGGAATGCCGAGTCCCTCAGCAGAGCGCACAGCACAGGGCACTCACACCTCTGACGGCAGAGGGGAGAGCTCACGTCATCCAGCTTTGTCAGAGGGAACAGGACTTATCATCCTACACGGGGTAAATGCTTTATCTTTTTCTTTAAAAATAAACAGACTGCCACAATAATTGGGATGTGCACTAAAGTCTCTGGGAAAATGGATACTTTTAGACCTTACCAGAAGTTACAAGAAATAACAAGTAATGTGAAAAAAACCAACCAACCAAACAAAAACGCAAAACAAAGCAAAACTACACCAAGGAAAAAAATTAGAAGTTAATCAGTCCCAATTCCAATATGGTTAAAAGTAAGCAAAACAAAACCAATTTACAGACAAATATAGCTCTCAAAATCATTTTAAAATAAAACAAAACTCAGAATTTTCTCAAATTGTATTGTAAGTTAGATTTAAGACTATTCCTAGATGATAAGGTTCCTCTCTGATGACCTCCAAACCTTCAAGTTCAGAGAAGGAGGAACTGAGTACCTATTGACAAATGTGTGGTTAAAACAAAATAAAATTTTGTGTCTACGGAGGTGAACTGTTCCTTCTACAGAATTACTGTACAGCTTTACAGAAGTTTGGCACAGTTAATTCAAGAATGTTTTTAGTCAACACCTTGGACTTCTGACTAGATTTACATGGAAAATGTGACAAAAAACCTCAAGACTTCATATCAAATATGTCATTTCTGTGAGAAAAGAAAAAAACCATTACTGGAAGTTATACATCATGTATACAGAAGAATTCTATCCCTTTGCAAGTAAACTTTGAATCCAAATAGCCAATGGTTAAAAATACTCCAAGGAGAGTTGCAGCACTTCTCAAAGGTAGTAGCAGCAAAGGAAAAAGCACTCCAGTAAAAATTACGTTGTTTCCACACATCACTTACCATATTAATTTACAAAAAAAATTCCATGGGCAACCTAGAAGATGTATTATTGCATCTAATCTAGCACAGCAAGTGTGAATCCTTCCAATCAAAATGTGAATTTTAACAATTTTTAAGATATTATGTAGTCTTATAATACAGCATTTTAGATAAAATTATTTCATAAATTTCCCAAAATGGTTTGCATTCGTATAAGGCAGAACAAAAAGCAGTAAAAGACTTCACAGAATCAAAGCCAAACTTTTAGCTTTTCTTGCAAAAATTAAAAAGTTGTCAAGAATCTTGATTGTTATTCCTAGAAGAAAACATAGAAACATGGCTGGAAAATTGCACCATATCAGGAGTTTGGGGAATTTTTCATTTTCTAAAAAAAGAGATATGTCAGTATTCACTGGATTTATAAAACACATTAATCTGAGAAACCTGAGTGAAACATTTCGAACACACTGGTGGACGACAAGCAAGTAACCAGTCTACTCCTTTCTAATTTCTGTAGCTTGTAACTGCTTAGAACAGACACGTGGAACTCATCTGTGTGAGCTTTTGCTTTTATTCCTCACGGGACGGGATCCAAAAAGCGTGGCCCTGGGTGTGCAGGCAGTGTGGCTAGGGAAGGAGTAAGGTCAGTACAGAGGTAATACCTTGTTTCCTCAATAGGAGCATTCCATGGCAGAAATGTGCACTGTTTCAGTGAACCCAAATTATTTTCATAGCAGAAATTTCATTTTATGTATGATTTCTAGGCAGATTTTCCATTTCTGTGAGTTTTGGCTTCCTCCCGTCCAATAAGACAAATGACTTTGTAGCATCCTTTCGCAATTTTGACCATCCACATCACGTTCATAATATCCAAGACAACACTTGAGATAATCCAGGCGCTCTGGGCTGCAAATCCTAATCTGTGGAAAGCTTCTGTTCCAAACGAAGCAATTACGTGGCTGTAATATATAGGCATGACGGCAATCCTCACCACGAAGAACACAACTGTCATCAGCACACCATTCATGATGTTGGCCTTTGAAGATTTGGGATATCCCAGTACTTCAAAAAACCACCTGCAAAAGAAGTGTTCACAGATACCAGGCAGACTTGAAGCCATCTCATTTAAAAATTATTTAACTTCATGGTTATTTTTAATTAATAATTTATTAATTGCTTCTACCCCTTCTAATTTCAAAATTATTGCACTGTGTCTTGGCTCAGCTGCAAATTCTTCTGCTTGGCTGCACTTTCTCTCTGCCACTTAAGCAGTGTGTCATAGCCTGTACATTGCAGAATAACACATAGAAAATCCTAATGTGAATTGTAAACCAGTGTGCATTTCAGTGACTATTGTGTAATAAACAATAATAAAATTATCTTTTAAAATTATGAAGATAAATTTATTACTTACTATTACAGTTTGTACCAATGGGCAACTAAAATCCTCTTTGTTTCTCTGAAAGCTATTCTAGAATTGTCTTTGGGTATGGTAATCTAGATAGAGCTCTAATTTATCATAATTGGTATTTTCTGACTGCTGCTCTTCAGACCAAAACTGGAACTTCAAAAACAGACATTGTAAATGGCTCTCAACCAAGTCTCAGCCTGGAATGTGATGCAATGAACAAGATAACTCTAAATAAACTGCCTCTCCATCTACCACTGGGTCACAAGTGGTCTTTAAACAAGAATTCTTGCATATTAATTCCTTAGTAGACAGGCATAACTTATCTATTGCCTGGCATACAGAGCCTGAAGATTGAATGCCTAGAAAAAGGAATAATAAACTCCTAATTCTTTGCCACTCATACTTAAACCAGAATAAACATATGTAAAATTCGTGCAGCAATGGCAGACAGGACCAGAGGAAAATAATTTAAATCACTGTATTCATGATGGGGAAAGGAATGAAATAATCAGTTTATTTAATTTCCAATTAATTAACTAACTAATTTCCAATAAAATACAAGGCTAAAAGTATTTAACAAAAAAAACCCCCACAGTTCTAAAACTGATTTTAAAAGTAATTTTTAATTTAATTACCTACAGATTGCAACCTAAGTAATTATAGATATACTAAAAAGATTTGCCAGACATCCAGCTCTAACAGAAATACTTCAGAAATTCATTAAGCATGCAACTAGGACAATTAAAATCCAGGCACTCGAGGTGCCAGTCTAGCCTGGAAGCAGGATGCTTCACCACAGAACACCTACTGGGATGATGAAGAGAAAGACCTAATATGTTTGGTCAGACTAACAATCAAAGCCTGTACTTTCAATGGTACATACAATGCAGAATCAAAAAGTAATATAAAAAATGGTTTTCAAATATACTGCAATGTGCCAATAGGTAACTGGACATTGGCTTAGCAACTTCCCTCTCCCAGCAAATTTTAAAAAAAAAACAGAACTCTGTAAATCACAGTTACCATTACAATTTTACCCATCACAGTTCAGAATTAATTATATAAATACTGATACTAACACTAAAATATCTAAATGCTTGGCAGAGAGACAAGATCTGAAATTAGAGATCCCTAACAACACAGACAGGAAATACACAGACAGTTCTGAGATTAGAATATCTTTTTATATTTTAATAATAGCTCTTTTGGTAATACTAAGAATGCAAACAAGAAACATAATGTAAGTCATTATCATTATCTGCTACTTACTGTCTTAAGGGTCTGATTCTCTTCAAATTTAATGGGGGAAAAAAATCATGCACTAATGAGATGACATCCCTTAGTGCAAGGGACTTTATCTCCTGCAGTGATTTCTGCTATTCTGAGAAAGGCCTGAACGTCAGTATTCAAAGACTCATGATCTCACCACAGGCACTTTTAAAGTGTAACATAAATTACTTTTAATACCAGATATATCATGATGCTTCCTAATGCCACAGTCTGAAAGGTAAGCATCAGTACAGGTACCCACTGAAACCCAGGATGAATTTCTGTCCTGGTAGAAGTCAGCTGAGAGAACAGCCATTCCCTAGAACATGAATATCAATGTAAAACCTAGAATATAGTATCACCCTTTTAAGTTTTAAGAAGTGTTTATTTACTCTTTAGTTTCTCTGCACACACAGAGCACAGGCTACATTAAACTATAATCTCCTACTCAACTGCACTGGTGTAAATGAAAGCACCCTCTGGAGAGCTCCGTTATCCCACCCATTTGTGAACTTTTTTGTTTGATATTTTCATAAATTTTGGCATTTCATATGAAGTCTGGTCTAATCTAAAAAGGAACTATTGCTTTCATACATCAGTTATAGTGTTGCAGCTATAGCAGTAAAACATCTTCAAAGCAAAAAAGACTTCCATATAGTAATCCTTAGTTCAATATATATAAATTCCCTTTCAGTAGACATTCAAAAACTACAAAAAAACTTCCTGACAGAAATATAAATGCAGATTAGATTTTAAAAGAACTGTGGAAACATTCCCTAACCACTTACCGTTGATTGACAAAAGGAGTGGAGAACTCTGCAAGTAGACGGAAGTTTCCAAAATAAGCCAGCAGACCTTTGCTCTGGTTAGCAAAACAAAACAGACATACAAAAATCAACAATGTAGAAGTGAAATTGTCATTAAAGTCTTCAAGTATACACAACATCTCAATTTCTTCGAGAAATTCAGATTGATAGTGAGTTTGCCAGCTGTGGCCACCTTCCTTGCAATTTCAAAATTAGTTTTACCATAAAAGCTGCAATTTCCCTTCAGGAATCTCCTATCAGTAGCTTCTTACTTCAAATAAATCTTTAAAAGACTTACAGCTAAGTGGCCATGGAAAGATACCTAGAGAAGACTTGTACAAGTAGTCATAGGTTATAATTATCATGATACTATTGCTGTCTAAAAGAATTATAAATATTTTTGATTTCTCAATGTTTAAACAAGCCCAAACAGGAACACTGTATACTAAAGAAAAATCTCCCTGCATTGCTTTAGGAACATAATTTGCCAAAGCAAAGATGAATTCTCAGCTCTAATTTGATAGCAGAAAGAGCATGTAAAGCCCTTTCATCCAAGGGCAGAGCTATATCCACATCATAATAACAACTGCTTTAAAAGTTCACGCTAACACTACATTTTCTGTTTACTCTAGCAACAACTAATGAATTTTCTGCATCAGGGATTAGCTTTGGTAGTGGTATTTTCAGTTATCTAATATTCAGCTCTAATTCACTTTCATCCATGATAATATTAGTAGATGTAATTATCTTCAACCTGAAACAGAGTATTTACTTGTCGGCATACTTCAGCCCCTTTAAACTATTACATGGGAAATCTGACACTAATCTGACATCTGGACACTTTTAATATTTTAAGCCTGGGATTCACACAGTGGGTAGGGAAAGAAATGGGGAAAATGAAGTAAATTGTATTTTGTAAGACTGCTTTACAGAATGAGCTTTTCAGAAGAAATTCAAGAGCATTTTTCTATTCTGGACACCAAAGGGATTTCTACCAAGTTACCTGGACATCTTTGAGAAATTCCAGCAGCAGCAATGAGTATCTTAGTCTTTATCCTATAATACAATCCTTCCCCTTTTCCCCTCATTGTATGTGCACCACAGATCTTTATAGATATAAAACAGTTAATGGTCTATTGTTTCCCCACCAAAGCAACCTTAAACAAGAAGTCTCAGAGGATCAGTTTGTCATAACTGATTAAAAAAAAAAAAAAGTCATGAAACAGAAGAGGAAAAAAACCTACCCCAGAAAATACACATCCACCTGACTATAGTACATTCACCACAGTTAGGGATCACTGACCTACAGCCTTGCAAACACAATCACAGAAACATTAAGGTAGTAAAAGATCAAGTCCAATTGTTAACCCTGGACTGCCGTGTTCACCACTAAACCATATCCCCAACTGCCACATCCACACACCTTCTGAACACTTCCACAGACAGCAATTTCATCACTTCCCTGGGCAGCCTACTCTGATGCCTGACCACCCTTTCAGTGTAGAAATTCTTCTTAATACCCAGTCTAAACCTCCCCTGGCACAACTCGAGGCTATTTCCTCTCATCCTGTCACTTGTTACCTGGGAGACAGAAACAGAACATAACGACTTGAAACCATTTCCTTCTAATTTTCCAACTAAATATTCAAGCTTGTGCTTTTATTTGAAACCCTTTTCTATAACCATATGAAAAGCCCCTCTGTCAATGCCTCTTTACAGCAAAAAACTGAGAAGAGTTTTAACTTCAGCCATTACACATTTTTGTTGAAGGAGCGTAACGCTGAAAAGGCATGTGCTTACCACAAATAACACATAAAAACATTTAGAAAGAATGATCATTGAAAGTATAAATATGCTTTTCATTAGCAAGTGAAAAATTTTTTCAACATTAAGCAAATGAGATATATAAAAGCCTTGTCTTCAATCTCATCTGCTTGTTATGTTACTAGAAAATACAGCACTTACCAGTACAAAATAGTAAGCATACAGAGCTGCCAAGTGATGTATTACAAAAAATTTGTCACCAATTGCCTTCCAGTAGTAAATAATAAGCAAGAGATCTACAAAAGAACAGAAATAACTATAAAGAACATTTTATTATACAACCATTGACCTCAGAATAGTTTCTCTAAGTTTTAGAGATATGCCAAGATAGGGCATCAGTAGAAACTTTCTGAATTAATTATCTCTGAAGAGAGCATCTTTATCGTAAAGACTTCACTTCAGTCAAAACATTAAGCAACAGTATTCTCCCAACAATTGCAATAAATTATTACTTTCCCCATCAATGGAAGGACAAAAGCAATAACTTTAGCTGAAATATTTTGGAAGAAAAAGTGGATCCTGAATCTCATAGTGACTTCACACTTCTGACCCCAAAAATCTGGAACAAGTGCCAAAAAAAAAAAAAAAGGTGAGGGGTCTACAGGGGGCATAGTAAATACACAAATACATGCAATAAATGCAGGGATCTATTACGGGGAACTTCTGAATCAAAAACAGGGAAGCATTTACCAAAATATTTTGCAAAAGGCACTTGGAATGAGAAGCATATTTATTTAATCCAAATTTTCCAGTTACTGCAAAAATGACATAGTGGATCTGAGTTAATGTTATAGGGAAAGCTTTAACAGAAAAGTTCTTTCTTCTCTCATGATGGTCTGAGATTTCAGATTTTCTCTTCTGTACTGGAACAAGCAATTTCTGACCCTGCTTTCTCCAAGTGCATACTTTGGACTGGAATATTAGTGACCAAGGTTCCAAATCAAAGACTTTACCCCTGTGTCTTTTTTATGTCAAGTGTCTGCCTTGATCTCTTTTATATTAGCTATCCTCAGGCAGGGCTCTATATCATCTGACATAGCCATTCCACTTCCTATTAATAATTAAACATTAACTATATAAGGAAGTGAGAGAGAATGAGTGGCCAAGTTGAGATCCCTATTCAAAGGCATTCATTAATTCATAATTAAAATCTAATGCATAATTATTCAAAAATAGATACTGATTAATTTAAACATGGGAGAAGAAGTTATGGAAAAAACAGACTTAAACTAACCCACAGTTTAACTGAATGTGCCAATCACTAGATTATCAATTCCACTAGGGTAAGTAATCTAATCTGAGAGATAAACAAGTCCATGGCCCAGTCTCTGGTCAGAGACTTCATCCTAACACGAGAAGTTTTCCCTGAAAGTAGTTCAAGTCACAAGTTTTTATTTAGATAAGTCGCTATTTTCCCCACATAACATAAAAGAAAGCTCCAAAGCATTTCGTAGCAAAATTTCCATGACAATTTTAGTAGACAGCAAAATTAAGAACATAAAACATACGTAGGAGTAAAGACCATACCAAGAAAATAATTTAAAACTTCCCTGTTTTATACACGACTAACTTTTGGCTTAAAGTGAGACTAAAAGACGGACAGGCAAGATCCAATGGCATCATTCGCCTCGGCTTGTATGGAGGGCTACTAAAATTCTTCTGCCAGCATTCTGAGGTCACAGGAAGAAACATATGATAAAAAAGCTACAAGTTGTAGACACTGTGAAGGGAGTGAAGGGCATTGCTCTAACACCTCCTCGATTGGCCAAAGGACAAAACTGAGCTGGAGTTGGTGGTTGCATATCAAACCATCACAAAGCCACACTGTGGCATTTCCTCAGTGCTTGGGGAGATATTCCATCTTTCACATCTGCTAGCAAGATCCTGTGATTTCACCACAACCCACAACTCCATTAGCAATTATAAATTGCATGCACATACAATTATAAATTGTATGCACATATCACATTTTCAGCATAGCGGCTTAGTATGAATATATAGGTGTAGTCACTCAATATAAATATACACATTGCATAATTACCAGAAATGAGGTAGCCTGTGGTAATAGCAATATTCAGCTTCACAATTGAAGGGTCACCCCTGAAAACATATCAAAAATACATAGTTACAGCCTTTATAACAATGTAATTTGCAAAGGACATACACATATCAAACACAGTGTCCATCAGGTCACCTTACTGTTGGCTCATCAGTAAGATATTACACAATCTGGTTAAGCAAGGTTCTAGTCATGAAAATTGATTCCTTTTCTACCCAGATAAAAGACATCCACTAACTAACCTAATGAGGACCAAGCCCTGCTAGAGGTTAGAACTCAAACACAGCAAGTACTCTGAGCTGGCTTCTCTGGAAACTAAGGATGAAAGAGAACAGCCCAGTCAGTGTCTTTTAGCTTTAACTGACACTCTGTGTCTCCATTTTTGTTTTCTGCCTGTGTCAAAACCTTCCTAAGGATGACAACAATGTCTTGCTCAGCTGGTGCTTTTCATATTCATAATCAGATGGATGCTTATAGGGATAAACAGAATAGAAGCAGACATGAAAGGAATTATTTGCCAGTTCTTTGAAGCCAAGGAACCTTCGAGGAGAAATGCTTTTCAGAGAAGTTTCACACCTTTTTGGTGCCAAACATGCAGCAGGCAAATCTCTTCGTAGCACACACACAACTTCAGTTCCTCTACAATGTTCAACAAACCCAAACTTGTGATTACAGATGAAAAAAGGGAAGTATCCACATTACAGCAAGCAACATTTGTACTTTCCTCTACTGTCCTCTGTGCATTCCTCCTTTGAGGAGTTTGGTAAGCAAATCTCTTTTCCCTTGACATAAAGATCATAACTTATTTTTTTTTAAGTTGTGCAACTAATCTAGCTACGTTTTGTGTAAGTATGAATCGAGTTTCAAGTGACAGATCAACCCATTCATAAAGTGTGGACTGCCCAAGACAAGCTGTGAAAGCAACCTTTGTTGTAAACTTTCCAAGAAAAAAAGGAACCTAACTGTGCTTACAGCCACCTCCAGTACAAAGTCTACCTCAGCCAGAACACAGTAAAATGCTATTGCTTAGCTTTAATTTCCTAATCCTATTAAAATGGAGTGAGCAGTGAAAGAGATTTCCTGTATTATTAAAATCTGTTCACTAAATTTTAAGGTTTTCTTAGTGTCTGAAACTAACTGCTTCCCTCATTGAGAGGGTAGCTAACAGGAAAATAGGACTCCCAAAATCAGAATTGTGCTGTTAGGCAAAGAAAAAACATTATCAGGAGAGTCTGAAGCTCATTCCATCTCTTAAGGTTGGCCATAGAGGCGCTCTTGAAAACAGTTTGAGATAGGAACATTTTTCCATGGCTTCAAAACCTGCTTTCATGAGCTACGTAGGTTGTGGGTTGAGTACATCTTTAGGTTTAGACACAGAGCATAGACAGATGTGTTCTCACAACTTTAGTAGAAACTCTTTAGTTACAGCCCTCCTGTTAGAGCTCCCAGATGCAGCAGCAGCTTCACAACCCAACTTCTGCGTGGTCCCAACACACTTCAACACATCAGCACAAAGATTGAGCCTTCATATTCTTCTCCAGAGAAGACTGAGTATATGAAATTTGTTCCTTGATATTGGTAAACATGACTTAACTGGATAAGACAGGGAATGGTTCACCTCCCTTCTTTTTTCCCCAGAGAACAGTCATTTTGCAACAAACCTTCTCTAGACTTTCTAAACCAACACTTCAACATATATGGCTGCACTGTTCATCTGTCTCTTCCCTTCAAGTAAAGTCCATGTTAGAATCCCAAATTAATCTCAATTAACGGAAAACTTAGAGTTTAGTCTAAAATATTCTAGATTTCCTCATCTACCTCCTTGAATGGAGAGTGCAATGGAGTTAATGAGCCCTGATGTCTGCAGCCTAGTTTTGATGCAAGTAAGAGCCAGGAATGACAAACAGGGAGTGACTTGAATAAGCAAATGGGAAGAGCTATCTCTTTGGTGATTGCTACGGAGGAATGTGTGGCAAATGAATTACACGTGAACATGCACCCGCAGACAGAACAAACAAAAGTACACAACTGACTTTCTTCAAAGTTCTTTGCAGATACAGTCATATAAAAGGCTAATCAAACATCAGACTTTGAAAACTGTAATGACTTTAAAGTGAACAGTCATAGGAAAGAGTCTACAACTTAATTTATTTATTTCACTTATTTACATCTTCTCCCTCTCCTTATCTGATCTCTACCACCTCCACATTTCCTACTGTGTGATTCTCACCACCTCAAAAACAATTTCTACATAGTTTATGTTAGCTAGTCTGTAGTACATATAGAAAAAAAGGAAAAGTGTGAGAAGTTCCAGACCATAAAAAAAATGTATATATACACAACACTGATGCTTCCCTGTAACTTACCAATGCTCCAGTCTTTGTTATGAGCTACCCTATCTATTTTCAGTAATACCACAATTCTCTCTCCATTGAACCCAAACCCTTAGCAGGAGTTCTGATCCCTTCCAAGACATTGGTGTATCACTATCACCATGTATTTAAGCTTTGCATGAACCCAGGAGTTATGCTGGCATATGTAGAGGCTCAGAACTGGTGATTTTTCATTATAGATAATAGATTTTTCATTATAGAATTTTCATTATAGATATCTTTAAATTATACAGAAAAAATGATTGGATACTGTCATACAGTCAATGACTACACGAAGATGGTGAAAATAACTAAAGGAAAAGATTGTCTGTATCAAAACCTTCCCAGTAGTCAAAAATCTGAGCATTTTCAGACTACCTGGGCTAGAGCTGTGCAACCAACCTGCATGAAGGATTCCTAGACATTTACTCACAAACTACTGAAACTAGATTCACAAATATTTCTTGTATTATTAATAAGAGATTCCTACAGAAAGGCTTATGCATCCTTCATGTCTGTAAATGACCCAGTCCCACATCTTATAAGGGCATTACATTCCCAGACTGAGCAGCCTTGTAACAGTCCATCTGGTGTTTCCCATATAATTTGGTTTTTTCCTCTTCAGTCTTACTAAGGCTTCATAAGCAACATTAAGTTTTCAATATATTATACAAAAATATCTATTTATGTATAATGCAACACAAAATTTCTCAAACTTACTAAGAACAAAAATAGTTTGATTCCTATTTAATTTGAATTTTTCTTGGAATTGCTTCTGAAAATTTAGGAAATGTAAAGATCCAATTTATTTGTCATCACCAAGAGGCTTTTATTTCTTCCATTCATGACTTCTTTTGTACTGTTTAGAACAACATCTCCTCAGACAAACTAGGATAAAAGCTTCTATCTGATAAAGCCTACAACACTCACCAAGAGAGCCATAATAACATGCTGCTTTTCAACATGGTTAACAGATCTCATAAGATATTCAGACTGTATTTGATCTCTCTAAAGATATCAGGATGCAATAAAAAAAACCAGCCAACTTAATCATATATCACTACATACAGAAGAGGCCAATGTTGCCTAAATATGTGTTATGCATTAGTGTTACATTTATTAAAGCCACATAACAGGTCCATGGCAGAATGCTTCAAGAACCCAATCCTGTCTAGTCCATGCTACATTGTCATTAACTTACAATAATGTAAGAGCAGAACAAGCATCAGATACTGTATTTATGTGAGTTTAAACTGACTCCCAGTGTGGTCCTTTGACAAGGTGAAATGCAACAGTCTATGACAGAAACATGAAATGAAACCTTAAATAATTAGCTATTCCTCAGGAAAAATATGGTCTCCTCCTTCTATAGGGAAAGAGTTCCAGAGGGTAATGAGTGAAGTATCAAAACACTGGTACCAATCTATAATTAACTCAAACAAAATGAAGCCATATTGTTCCTCCTCCCTCGAAAAAGTGTGAAACAAAACAATATCATTTAAAAAATCAAGAAAATATAAGCTTATTATAGAATATTTTGTTAACTAGATAAAATATTAGAAGCCCATTTATTAAATATTCCTATTGCTTGTGAAGTGTTTAGCTGTTGAAACTTTCATACTTTTGTTAAAATGAAGAATGAAGGAGCTTTATGGGAGGCAGAAATATAAACATCTTCATTTATCAATTTAGACATATATATTTTAGACATATAATAGGCCACTCCAACTTTCACAGACATACACTCTCCAGATCTGTAACAGCTTTTCAATTTCACTTTAAAATTATTAGAGTAAAGAGCATAGTTTCAGTCATGCTGACTTAGTCACAGTTTACTCTTTAGTAATTTATTATGCTATTGCAAATCAATTGCTTGTATTTTACCTATTCTGAACAGATAGACACTGAACTAAGACATTAATACTGACAAAATAATTATCAGATTTTCAAATAGTACAGACATAAAAATGGACACATCACAACTGCATATTTTAAAGGGAAATGAAATAATTATTTCAGTAATTAATACACTGCAGGATTTTTTTTCTCCTCAATTATGTTATTTTATTGTGTAAACACAATATATATGTAACGTGCCTTACCAGAGATGGTCAGCATTAACAGCATCATCGTACAACAAAATATATAGGCAAAACCCTCCAACCACCAAGGCGTGGAATGTGGACACTGTCCTGAAAAAGAGATCACAGTCACAATGGCATACTGCCATTCACAACTTCTTATTACTGTGCTTAAGGTAGGATGTTTCCAAAGACATTCTCAACTCTATCCAGATACTTCTGTGGAAGACAGTCATCTGCTCTTTACGCTATATCCAGCCACTTACCCAATGACAGGCAAGAAAAAACAGTCAAAAAGAAAGAATCCATTAGATTGGAGCGGGATTGGCGATACTAGATAGAAAGTAGAGCCTCAAAAGTAACACAGATCTAAATTTTCCTCCAATTATTCCATATATTAATGAATCCTTAAAGACAATATGATATTTAGTTCTCTAACAAATGCTTTCTGGATTCTCCCATTTGCTGGAAAATTTGTGTGCATTTCATATTCGGATTGGCTCGTGAGTCCTGCAGCAGCAGGTTTCTCTTTTCAGGCACCAAATTAATAGATGACCTATAACAAGTCTGCCAAGTTCAGGTTTGGAAAGTGGCATTAAATGAAAAATCTTAAGTTTCAGACAGAACTTCTAGTGCATTTGAAGTAGTCTGGTTTTCAAAGATAAAACTTTTATAACAAAATGTTGTAGCTGAGTACCCGAGGTATAATAGCTACAGGTTCATATGAACTAGCAGCTTGCAGCTTTACTTTATACTTCTCTCCTTCGATATGTCACAGTAATCAGTTGCCTTGTCTCTGCTTCAATACTCAACACTTTTTTTTCCAAAGACAATAGTCTCCAGTATACAGGCTGCATGCACACTGCAGATAAACTCTGCATGTTAACAAGCACTTAAAGAGAAATACCTATTTACAGAGGCCCCAGCAGGGTTTCTGCCAGCACACAGGCCAGCACCACTCCTGCCCTTTTGAGTCCACATGTATTCTTGGAAGGTAGAACAATGCAACGGGCATGGGTCCAAACTGTGTAACCTTCTTTCTCTAGCCATGGGTTTAACACTACTATAAACTGCATCTAATACTGTGTTGCTACTGTCCGCTTTCCCACTTTTCAAGTGTGACTAGGAATACAGAAAAATTATGTGACAAAACTGCTGTACTGAATCATGGATACTGTTTGAAAGATGAGAACTAGGTTCAATGCTGTGTGATTGGAAACATCTTCACACCATATTCACAGCATTAACAACATGCACACAAATGTACAAATGCTGTTAGTTACTAGACTAGTCTTTGTACACATTGAATACATGTATTTGGAGGGCAGTAATATTTTAAATGTCCTTAAGGCACTCTCAGGAGTCTAAACTCTTACCATTCAAGATTTGAAGAAAACATCTTCCTTCCTGTGGAAGACTTTGCAAAGAAAGAGCATCTTATAATCCCTATTCTGTTTCCAGAAGTTATATTATTATCTATTGGGAATAGAAAATTCTGTAACTTTTCATAAAAGAAGACTCTATTTACAATTTGTTTAAAGAGTGTCATCGTGCTATTTTCAGCACCTTTTCAATAGTGTTCCAGCAAATTAAAGGAGATTAATATAATATGAATAGCCAAATGTAAGAGAAGCTAGATGAGAACAATTAATAGCCATTATAGCACAGGTTACATTTCCCCCCACCACCTTTTTTTTAACAAAGAAAGAAAATTTAATTATTGGAATTGTAATGACCATTGTTTAATTAAAAGGTCTACTCTTACAACACAGAATTAACAAAGATAGGAACTTTGCTTCCTTTTTTAAAACAAAGTAAGGCACGCAGTATTAGTGTTTGAGAAATAACCTGGAATTTTTGAACTTGAGGAGAGGATAATGCTGCAAGAAGGAAAATTTGTCCTAGAATATACTCCTGAGTTTACAGTTGCATTTGTCTCTGGAGTGGCTGTTTATTCGAACCTAAGTGTTTAGAACACAAGCTAGACACAAGCATAGCACTTGAAGGGGGAGAAATAAAAGAAAAAAAAAAGGCAGCAGAATCAGATTTCCTCCTTAACTCTGATGTTTCTCCATAGAAGACGGGACAGAAGAAGGGAAATAGTACAACACTGCATTTTAATATGGAATCTAGGTCAAGCTATCAAGCTCCGTACATTTCCTTGAAATTCCTGTCAAAGCTTGCATCCTTTAACTCCTCATTAAACTGCAAACAAAAATGTTGCAATTCAGCAGTGCATACTTGTTCCTTCATTAATATATTTTTTTTTTTTTCAAAACTACTTAATAGCAGTACAAACGTATTATAGGAGAGGTGACAGGAATTTATGCACAACAACTTGAGGAGTTATACTACACGTGTCAAAATATAGTTTTTAACTCATTTTGAGCGTCTGCATACTTAAGATGTCAGAACCACTTACTTTATTGGTTCTTAATTCTTGGAAGGTCAGAATGAACAGATTGACAGTATGGAAAGAGCTGCAGCTCAAATTCTTAATTACAAAGCCCTCCAAACTGTAACAATATATTTTCAATGCTACAGCCCATTTCAGGCATATGCACTCTTCCAGACCCAGCTAAGCTGATAAAAATGCATAACCATCCTCTGTGCCAGTTTCCTTCAGGACTGCCAACAGAATCATTTGTGTGTGCACTCCCTACACCAGTTCAAAACAGGACAAAATAACAACCATCTACTTTTAAATCATTTAAGTTAACCCAACTCATTTCATTGGGAAACAGTAACTTTATCTGCAGAGCTGTCTGCAGAATAAATATATATCCATCTACCCTCTCTGAACTTACAAGATTGAGGCGTCTCTTAATTTTGGTGAAATACTGGAGTGATGAGGCAGTTTGACCAAATACTGTGTTTGGTTAGCAGAGCTGAAGTAGCACAAGCACAGTTAGCCTTTCTTTCACTTCATGCCCTCCTCAGGTATAACATCAATAAACTGTTGATGAATCATGGTTTGTGTTTCATGCCTTCTAACTTCAGAAACGGATGAAGTCCTGGATCACAGCTCATCTCTGTGCCAACATCTACATCCTGCTATCGAGCCCAAGAAAAAATGCAGAAAGAGGTAAAAAAGGACATAGCCTGGGATGCTGTATCAACTTGAGCAGTTAAACATCTTACTACAAAGTAGCCCAGAGATTATGGAGCAGCTTATTTCCAGCACACTTGTTATGTTCGAAACAATTCATATGTTATTATGCAAAGCACTACACCAGCACATGGGGTAAGTTCTCACAAAGCTTATTATGCAATTCAAGGGCCACTTGATATGGCTTAGAGACAGAAGTTCAGCTCCAAATGCTAACAGTTTAGTTTCCCTGTCTGCCTCTATTATCAATTGTAACAGAGAAATAAACCTAAACTGCACTGATATTATGAACTGCCATCCTACAACGTTGTTCTGGCAATAGGTAATTATTCAAAGATGGAACTGAAATTAAGATGATGCCTTTAAGAACAATGCAAGCGGACATTTGCCAAATGGAAGGGCAAGACTATTTGAATTGCTAATGCTGCCTAGAACAATGGAAACAACTTTAAAAGTATCCACCTGATACTACCTCTAAACATCACTGAGGAGGAACAGTGATGCAACTAATGCATTTTGAGTGCAGTGACAGCCATACAGTACATATTTTTGAACTTCAAATTTGATAAAGGTCTGAAAAAATATTTTAAAGTTGTAATAGGCTACTCAAATAAAGTTGTACTGTACCAACTGGAGAACCCTGTGTACTACAAATACCCTCTCAGAGTAGTATATTGCAAATAAAACCTCACTGATCATCCCATTTGCAATTAGCACCCTGTACTTCTTTTATGGCTTAAGAGAGAGGGAAGTGCCCAGGAAAGAATTACAGGGTTGAACAAGTTTCTAACAGTGTTCTATCTGAGGAAACAAGTGTAATGCGGGTGGGTCCATCTCAGTGATGGAATGCAGAAACACAAAATGAGTGAGGAAGGTTTTTAGATTGAGTTTCCAGAACTCTTTCCTGAATGTATACCCTGTGTCTGCCATAGCTTATTGCAGTCTCCTTTCCAGTCAACACATAGATGTACCTGTCAAACCTGACTCTCTTAAATACTATACCAAATATTAAATTTCTTGGAAAACCATAACTTACATAAAACAGTTTGTAGTGTAGTAGCACCAGAAAACAGAGCAAACTGCTCCGCACCCAAAAGCATGCCCACAGATACACTAGCATTTAGATCATGCAATAAATTGCAATAGTTTTGATTTTCATATCAGTTTGAAATGGAATTTTGTATCTCTTCTCTTTACTAGAAGTGTCACAGAGCGTCACTTCAGCATATTACCTCTCACCAGGCACTGTTTTCTTTTTTTACTGACTTTCACGTCAGCATCACTGTTTAACAAAGTGTTTAATGTACAAGTGTTTGTAATGCTGTGTGTTCATGAAGCGGTCTCAACGTTTCATATGCATAATTTGTCGAGTGCTTGAAGCCAGCCCTCAGATCTTTACATATTTTTAACTAATAATTAACTACTAAGGTTTTCTGCAGTCTTATATATACACACACGGGTGGTTCAGGTGTTGATGATTTCAGGTAGGTCACTAGTTGTAGTAGTTTTGAACACTCTACCTTGAATTCCATTCAATCTTCCTTTTTTGGCTGAGATTTTTAAAACCAGGTGTTATTCGTGTTGACACCCAGGAACTTAAAACATGGAACAGGAGCTGAAATACAGTAAAACTGGCAACAGCAATGCCGATAGTCAGGTTGCTGAAGGAAGCCATTGTTCTTCAGCCTGTGAAGAGAAGCAGAAGGTAATTTCAGTCCATTCTCCCTTTAACTATTTTAAGCAGACACAGAAAGTGTTTTTGACAGGTAACTTATCAATAGAAATATTATTCGCTAAAAGTTTCAACCTGTTCAATGTTTCCACTTAAGCCTTAATAGTATAAAATTATGCCCGGAGTTTTATATCTAGAAGTTGCATTCGGTTTTGTTTTTAACATTTGCACACTATATACATTTTTGTGACCCAAAGTTGCATGTATTTTATCTTTACAGAAAGGTCAGGGAGGACCAATGACTAGTGCAACTGCCAGCTCTAAAGCCTCCACTCCTGTCCCAAGAAGCTCCAGAGTTAAAACTCATCTCATTCTTACCAGATTGACTGCTGCCAATGGGATTCTAAAACACAACAATTAAATCAGATAGGCATAGTAGCGAGGTTTTTGGGTCAGCCTCGGGGAGCAATAGCCTCACTGCAGCTTTCTGGTTGTGTACTTTACAGAGATAATAGTTCTCAATTTGCACTGTGTTCACACTTGAGGGCTCATCTGTATTTTAGATCTTTTCTTCATCACTGAAGTCTAAACTTTGCACAATTTCACAGCATACTGAAAAGCTTCCTATCATCAGAGTTAGTGGACTTTTCAGTTGCTGCATGTTTAGCTGTTTCATGAGGTCTAAATAAATAGTTCAACAATTCTAAACATAAGTGTCAGTCTCTCAATGCTTCAGTCATTTTGCCCAAGTTGTCAGTATTTGCAAGACAGAATGATATTTTTCCAGAAGCCACAAACTTCTGACATACAACTCCACTTTGATGGTGATGTGTTTCATACTCCAAGACTGGCAGAGGTTACAAACTCATAAAACATCAAGTTACATTAAGTCAAACAGAAAAGGGGAAAAGAAAGGCAAAAGGCTTCCTTTAAAATATTTAAATAATGGTTTTAGTATCTATTCAAATAACTGCTGTCACTTTGGTTTTACTTATGAAAATATATAAAAATAAAATTAAGACTTATACAATAGCATAACTTAATGTTACTAAAGCAACCGAATGGTCAGCAAAAACTGATACAATTATATAATACACTTATGTCCACCTTTATTTCACATGCATTACAGAATGAGTGAACATGGTTTAGATTTTTGAAACTGTATCTGCATTGCAGGTGGTAAGAAACTTGAATTTCAGCAGGAAAAAGAAATAGAGAAGTCCACCAATGAAAATAATAACTTTTTTAAAATTAAGTACAATATTCTTACTTTGCAGGGTAAATTGTGAGTATATTGAAACAGGTAGATCAGGAAAAAAATACTTTTGTCTTCAAAGATGTAGTAGCAGAAGGTTCGATGACCTCAAATTTTTTCCCCTCCATCTCCTTTTCTATTTATTCTCCCCAGAACTGAAGAGCAATAAACATCCTCTGACTGGTACCCACAGAGCTACAGCTATATAAACAGAATGCAGGACAAATAAGAGTAGATTTGCTGAGTTAAACCTGCACCTATATCATATGGATTTCATGTGTTTACTTCAGACCACCTTTAATCCTGTCCTAGGGACTCCATGGTTCTTAGAACATATTTGATGTGCTCCTAGGGCCTATCTAGGGCTTGCATGCTCTGGGATAGCTACGCAACGCAAATCAAAGGGCAGCAAGTGGGAGTGATCAGAAGATTTAGTTCCTAAACATATTTTTAATCCAAACTATAATTTTAATGTACACATGCTGCAGTGCATTGCATCAAACTAGTTGATTCCAATTGTTTTCTGGTTACCTGTTCTAGTTCAGCAGCATACTAATCCTGCATAGTTTTTAATGTTACTCTATTAAAACTTCCAATTTCAATTACTATCCTGAATATTCAGTATCCTCAATTCTCCACATACTTCTCCATCTGCCTCCACTGACCAAGAAGATACAAAACACAAATCAAACTTTACACAGTTTTTACACAGTTTAAAGTACCTGAGCCAATGGGTGTTAAACTTGATTTTCTAAAACTTTACCATTTGAAGAAACAATGAATTTAGTATCTTCCATTTTAAACCCATTGAGAAGGGCTGTATGTTACAGATTCTACTCCCAGGGCCAAAAACTTTGTTATTACATCACCTCATTTGTAGTAACCAAATCTCCTCTTGGACAATGTAAGGAAAAAAAGAAATCAGTTGATTTAATTCCTAAAGTGAAGGAAGCCAAAATCCAGGTGAAGGACAATTCTCTTCAGAAAAACAGCAAAATCACTGAATATCAATCACACCTATCTCATCCTTTTGACTAAAATATAGCAATTCTCGTGATGCTACAGATTTTATTCACCTGCAATGACTACACTAGTACCTCTGAGTTTCAAAGACACTGACATAATCTCTTGGACAAGAGAAAGTCATGTTTTGTTTTGCTTCCTTAGTACTAGAAGATTTTATTACATAATGTTTCAGTGTTTGACAGGTGTTCATTTTAGTACAGATTATGGAATTAAACAATAAAACCTTCCAACCAACCCTTGCAAGAAATGCATTAGAAGACTAATCTTTCTCCTAAGAAACTTGTACAGGGCCCTTATTTTAAGAAAAGCAACTTTCACTGAAAGCATCTGATCTGACTTTCAGGAGTTTTAGCAGCAAATACTGAACAATGATGCCCACAAAGGAGAAAGGTATGACGGTTTAGAGAAGAAAAGAGAGGCAGAGAAGACACTATAGTCAGTCAGCCTCTGTGGTTGGTCTCATAGATACCCAAGTTTTGCAAGCCTGATTTCATACAAGCTTATCACGATAGACGCTGTTTAAGTAAATGAACTACCAATAATTTCATGTTTTAATTCAGCAAATTAATAGTGTTGTATTTTAATTCAATTCAAGGACCAGGTGTAAACACAGTGTTTCATGTGAGATTGAAAAAAAAACGTTCAGCCATAAACATTTTTTCATATCTCTTAGTCATTTTCAACTATATCTTGTTTAACATGAAAATTAACTGTTGTTTAGTAGACTCCCTTTTAATTTACAAGAAAAACATTCATGTTGTCAAACAAAAGCTTATGACTTAAAAGAAACATAACAAGCTTCTGATTACATACAATTTCTTTGCCCTGAGGACAGTGACCAAAATTAGTAGGTCAAAGGCAGCTTCAACTACACTATGCTTTTTTCCCCCCAAGTATCTTCTTATAGCTGTCCAGCAAAGTCTGATCAAGTTACAGAATTTAGTGGACTATACATGAGCAGACACTTTATCACTCAAACTGCATAGTCATTGATTACCACTCAATCAGCTGATGCGGGTTTTGAGCTAGTGGAAGGCTGGGTGGGGAAGGAGGTTTAGTGTAACTACTTTGTAATTCAGGAGAAAAAAAGTACTATATCCAGGTTGGTTCTTCACCACTAATTTTTTAGCAGTAGTATTTTCCTGGCTTAGCCAAAATTACTGTCTTAACCATTCAGTTAGACAATAATTACACATGGTTAGAACTTCACTCTTTCAGCTTTTCAATGAAGTCTTCAGGTAAATAACACTACCAAACACTTGAAAGTAACAATTTTCAGCAAGATACTGCTTACATACGTCTAGTGTGATTTCAAATTACTCTATTGAACCAGTAACTTCGAAAAACTTAATAACACAGCTTTTCCATCATACTCAGTAAGAGCTAAAAATATGGTTTTTTTCATCTGCTATTAACATGCAGTGGTTTTCCTGCAATTCTGTTTCTACTTGAAATTTAGAAGAAAAAGCACAACATTAAGACTCCACATTCATTCACCGCAAATATGAAAACATTAGGAACTTCTGATAGAAACAAGTCTGCACTCACTGGAAGAAAACAAAGGAGCAGAAGAGTTACCAAGCATTGTACCATCAAAGGCATTTAACATTTATGTTCCCCTCATCTTACTGTTTCCACATCAATTCTTCACATCATAAAAATAAGAAATGCAATAGTATAGCCACAAGACATGGTAAGAAGGTGCAGATGAAGGTTTAAGGCCCACAGCCCTTACTTTCTTTAAGACTGGATTTCAAGATGAATTGGATCAATTTCCAAACAAGATTACAATCTAAAGCTGCTAGTGATACCAGGACATCCCATTCAGTCCTATGTTCTCCTGATCCGCTTGAAACTGAAAGCCAAATCCCACAGTTGTAAAACTTGTCACACCAATCTGCAGTGAGCAACTTTGGACTGTTTGCACATTTTCTAATAAGCCCAGTAATAAAACATCTGCAGTGCTGGAGCTTTGCTGTGCTGTTGGCTCTGAAGGGTAGTTTCTATTGCTCCAGCTAGATTAGATGTACTGCGTTTGATATCTTACTTAGCTCGGTAAGCAGCATTAAGGAGAAACATGACAAAATTCAAGCTGCTCACAGCTTAAACCATCCCCTTTTCTATTTAAGGCTATTCACCCCCCAAACTCCACTCTGCTTTCCGCTCTTAGAACACCAGAGCCACCGGCAGATTAGGCTCACTTTTTATAAAGGGTGAGGTGTCCGCTGCGATACCATTTACCGAATTTCCTCAAACCCTCCAAGGAACCGGGAGCCGCGAAGCCACAGCGAAGGAAAACCCCCCACAGCGAGGGACACCCCTCCCCCCCCCCCGCTCCAGGCCGACCCCGCGGGGTCGGGGCGCTGCCCCCGTGCCGGGCGTTACCTCGCCTTCCCCGAGCGCCGTTCGCCCCGGCAGCCCCGCACGGCTCGGGCGGGCAGCGCTCACCCGCCGCGCTCGCTCCGCCCGCGCCACCCGCTGCCGGGCGGCGGGAGGAGAGCGACAGCCGCGGTGCCGAGCGCTGTCAGCGTGCCCAGCGCCGCCGGCTGCGGCTTGCGGCCCTCGGCCCCCGGGGGCGGACCGACGCGGACGGAGGGAGGGAAGGAGCCGCTCCGCGCGGCCCCGCGGGGCGGGGGAAAAGCGCCGCACCGCCCCCGCCCCGCCCGGCCGGCCCCGGCCGCTCAGCGCCCCCAGTCCGCCCTTCCCCGCCCGTCGCACCTGGGAGCGGGGCTA